AACTACTATTCAAGTGAAAATAGCTTAAAGAGTAACTGTCAGGATCTGATTTATCATTTAAAGTGAAAGCAATTTGAAGGACAAAACATAAAATAATGCTCACAATTTAGAAATGATAGAAAAACAAAATCATATAAAATTTCATATTGTCAGAAAAGCTTTTGTCACTTGCAGACTTACTCAGAGTAGCAAAAGAAACCAAAACCTTTTACTCAAGTAAGAGTATTGTTACTTCAATCAAAATATGGCTCAAGTAGAAGTAAAAGTATGCAGCTAGAACAGTATGTATTACTTTAAAAAGTTACTCAAGTAAATGTAACACATCTGACTATAGATACAAACTGAAGACGTCAAATATATGAAGCGAGATTTATGGAATTCTGCAGCAATGAAAACTATAAATAAGTTTAATATTTTACATTAAAGTCCTCAAAGTATCCACCAGTCAAGAAATACCAAAAGTGCAAAGCAGGGTTCAAAGCAAACGGTGTCTGTTTCAAAAAATCTAAAACACATTCTGAGTTATTTTAAGTGTATTTTTTGTTCACTACATTCCAGGCGTGTGCATTCAGAATTTTGATGTTTTCAGGGAGAATCTACAACGTAAATAATCGTGGAAATAGAAATTCACTGAAGCTGGTAACAAGATTTCAGATAAAACAGGATATATATTTGGTAGACTGTTTTTTTTTTTTGTTTTTTTTCCCAGCTCTGTGTATATTTAAAAACGTCTTGTCCAAAAGTCACCTGTTCTTCTTCCATTGTCTTGAGTCCTTAAGCCCTTGACTCTGCACTGACCCCGTGACCCGGAAACCTAAAATAAACCAGCCTTATATACGCAGACTCCACTATTTGCATGTCTGTGTGTAGAGAGTGTGTGTGTCCGCAGGTTAGACACACACACACACACACACACACACACACACACCACTGTTAAAGCTCCACAGATCTTCAGATAACTTCACAAATCCGTTTTTTTTTTACTTTTCTCGTGAGGGATCTGTCATTTGCTTTTCTATTACTAGGTTTCCTCAAAGTTTTATACAGCAAAGAAAAATGTTATTGCATTGTGATATGACGTGGATCATTCAGTTATAATTTGCACATTTGACATCACAATATTCACCTAAAACAACGTAACAAATCCAGTGACTCGCCCAATGGGATGGGAACATTATAACAACAAAGCCCCACATGCAGTCGAGTGCCTCCTATAACTGCACATCACACTGTCACATGGGTCTCCAACTTTTTTCCCCGGGTGAGGAACCTTTACAAAACAAAAATGCAAGAGAGCTACTCAGTTGAGATGATTATAAGAAAGAGGGCGAGCCTTAGGATACAGTTAGATGCCTATAAAATATAAACCATTGTCCATTTTTTTGTGCTCAAAGTTGGGCTTCAAAACGTTACATTTACAATAGTAATAGGCAAGTCATTTTTTTGTTATGCAGCACCGAAATCTCTTGGTAAGCTTGGAAGGAGATGGAGAGCTACTAGTCACTCCCAAGCAACAGTCTGGAGATTCCTTCACAAACGAGTTGTGGATTCGACACTAACGAATCCTACATGTATTAAGAAAATGAATAAATGAAATAAGTACAACATCGTAAATGGTCACATTTTTATACAGAGCTTTTCCACCTTCAAGACACTCAAAGTGCTTAACAACAAGGAACCACTCACACATTCACACACACATTCTCACACCAGTGCACAGACACTGGGGGTGAGTTGGGTTAAGTGTCTTGCCCAAGAACACAACGACAGCATTCATCTGTGGGAGCTGGAATTGCACTGCCAACCTGTGAGTCAGTGGATCTGACATCTCAACCAATGATGTTTTGCGGGATTCAAACCACCAGCCACTGGATCAATGGACAAACACCCTACCAACCGAGCTCCTGCCACCCGCCACCCCCGGCTGTAACAGTAGTGGTGAAAACAGGAGTTGATTTAGAGTTATTGTTTAGTTGTATTGGGAATTTCTGATTTATTGAATATAAAACAACTTTATTTTCAGTCCAATGACGATCATTTGGTCTTTCCGATATTTTATGTTATTAGGTTCTTTTTTCAGACTAAGAGTTTGTTTTCATACCTGTTTTCATACACTTGGACTGTTCACTAGTGCAAATACAAATTGTATTTGTATTTGTATTCACTCCAAATACGTTTACATAAAAGGTAAATGAGAAGGAAACAACTATAACATGGTTAAAGCTCTGAAAACACCATCTTTTTTTTAAAAGTTTTTTTTAGTTTTATTTATTTAAAAGGGATTCTAGCAGAATCTGTCTGTTTTAAGAATATTTTGAGGGATTTTATATATTGATTATAACCCTAGGAACTAGCCTGATTCATCAGCCAGTTTCACTTTGTAGAAACTGTCTGACCTCGCAGCATTAGGATTCATTCCCTCGCCGGTAGGTGAGTATTTTTTTTATTTAATCAATCGCTGCTATTTGGTCGTGACGTATGTAATGCGCCGCTAACAGGCCTAACTGGTATATTAAGCTTTTCCCAAATCCCGTAAGAAGAAGGACAATAACGTTTTTCCCCTTGATAAAATTCACCAAACATTCTCTTTGTTCTGGCTTTGATTCTTCAATCTCGGGAATCGTTGCCAAGACTGAATATATGACTCTTCGCTGACTGGCTGGTGCCCGAACTCACACTTCCAGGGTTTTTGTAAACCATCTAGTGTATTCTGATTCCTGACCTAGTTGCTGAAGAGAAATGAAATTGAGTGGAGGCACTGGGCTTGATAGGAACTAGGTAGAATATTTGCTTTTTAATATTACTGTGATGTTTCTGATGATGTGTAAATTCTATATTTAAAAGAACATATATTAAAAAAGTCACCTCAAAATAATTTTTAAAAAGTACTGTATGTTCACTTAGAAGTTGTTTCAGAGTTGTTGTGTTATCTACAAATGGATTTACTTTCACATTTGTCTCCCTTCGCTTTAGTTTTGTCTCTACGTTTAAGTCTCGGTCTGCCTCCTGCACACTCCCGGAGCTCTGCACAAAACTCCCGTAGAGCACTCGCGTTATAATGTCCGTGTAAACGCTGCTGAGACGATGCTGCTCCTTTCCCTCCTGAGCAGCGCGAGGGCCCCGCGGTCCCTCGGAGCCGGACCGGGAGGGGAGGCGGGGGAGGGCGGGGGGGGGGCCCAATGTGACTCGTGTAAATGGCTTTGACAAGGACACGACGCCGCGAGCTCCGTCCTCTTCCGCTCCCGTACACACACATGCACGCACACACACATATACGCATACACACATACATATATATACACACACGCACACACACACCGGGACTTCCACACCTCAGCACTATCTGCGCTGACTGTTGCTCTGTACGGCTGACTGCGGATAGGACGTCTGTAACACGGCGAGGACCACACGTTTTACATCACTTCGAAAGAGCCGTACGTGATTTTTAAAACGTGAAAAACAAAACTAGTTCATTTGAAACAGTGTGTGGTGGTCCAGAGTTACTCCTCACTGACCTTAAGCTTTCCGAAACATCCAAATTATAAGCACTTTTCAACACCCAACTCTCCGAGACCAGTGCGGTGTTTTGCCGTGATGGTAACACTAACAACAACCAGCATGCTAACACACACTTCCTGATGATCAGACAGTAAATGCGTTATGATTGGACACAGAACGCAATGTGATTTGTAATAACGGTGCGTCACCTTATAGCCTGATTCATCAGGCTATCATTCACTTCGTGGAAACTGAATAATAAGCGTGATGAGATAATGAATTCTCTCATCACGCTTTACGTCTGTCAGCTGAGGAGAAGAAGGGAAACGTGTCGAAGAAGGGAGGAAGAAGACAAACTGAGTCAACCGCTACTCTACCTCAGCCCACTCCCACATCCCACTCACAAATACAAAGAGACGTGGATGAAAGTCTGAAGACACGACTGGTGGATCGTCCAGATCAAGTCAGAAGGACGACACAACAAACATGTGCTGAACCACTGACATTATTTTTAAGAAGAATAATGGATGGGGCCTAAATATGCAGGGTTTGTGTATTCAACATGTATAAACAGTGTTGGGAAGGCTACTTTTAAAATGTAATCCCCTACAGATTACAGATTACATACCCCAAAATGTAGTTTGTAACGTAATCCATTAAATTACTTAAAGTGAGTAACGTAATCTGAATACTTTGGATCAATTGATTTGCTGTAGAGAAGCAAAGACGAGGAAATCTTTACATAAGATGGTTTATCTATTAAAAGAAAATAAAAAGGCCGAGTCTTTACTGTAACCGTATTAAAAATATTATTGATAGAAGAGGAGGAGACACGGTCCATACAGCATGGTTTAGTCCTGTTAAATCCTGTTTTGGTCCTGGCTTAGACCTGGTTTTAGACCTGGTTTAGTCCTGGATTAGTCCTGATTTAGACCTAGTTTAGACCTGGATTTAGACCTGGTTTTAGACCTGGTTTAGTCCTGGTTTAGACCTGATTTAGTCCTGGTTTAAACCTGGTTTTAGACCTGGTTTAGACCTGGTTTAGTGTCCGGCAATGAGTGGAATTACGGAAAAAAAATATAGATAGATAAAGATATAGTCCAAAATGTGAAAACAGGAAAATCCCGCTGTGTAATCCATTTATTTCAACAAAGTAACTGTAATCCAATTACCACTCACTGAAACAGTAACTGTAACTGAATACAGTTACTCATAATTTGTACTCTGATTACGTAACTCCGGTACATGTAATCTGTTACTCCCCAACACTGTGTATAAATGAAACAAAACACAACTCCAGGTCTGTTTGTGATGAGGAAACGACATTCAAACCTAGACAGAAAACAGCGTAATATGAGCACTTCAATGCACTAAACACAACGCATCAACAGTATTAAATGTTACCTAAAATGATAAATGTCGTCAGAACGTTTAACAGGAACAATCGCCCAAAATGTCAAACTTGTATCAGCCAAACCCCTCACACACTCACACACACTCACCTCAAAGTCGTTGGCCTTGTTGTAGTGCATGTTGAGGGCCCTGAACAGCTCCGAGTCTCTGCTCACGGACAGCTCCTCTGCCGACGTCACTCCTTCGTTGATGGCCTGACGGGCGAACTTCTCCATCTGGATGTAGTAGAACTCCCTGAAGTTACTGAACCATTTGATGAGCTGGGACGTGATGCATCGGTTGAACTGGACACAAGAAAAACAAAGAAAAAAAAAATCAGTTACAACAGTTTTTATTAAATATTTTCATACACTGTTAAAGGTTCATCGCGTAACTTTTTGGTGGAGGGTCCGTCCAATACTTTTCTCCATGGAGACGTTATTGCTTTGTCTGAAATGTTTCACAATATGGTATTAAACTTTTCTATCTTCATGGAGACCAAACAAGGCCAAGTTAAAGGTCAGATCTGTGGAAAGGCGACCCCGCTCACAGTGAGAATACCTGTTTTTCTAGGTATTTTTGAGATGTAAAACCACCTGTAACTGAATAAATGTAAGGTAGAGCTGTTTAATGTCATACTGTGGAACATTCCAGGCAGAGCGGTGACGTAATCCATAGAAACAAGCAGGTGGCGGACCCTCCACCAGAAAAATTACACAATGCAACTTTAGGGTCCATATTATGCTATTTTTTGATCTATGTTATTATGTTATTATGTTTCCTCATCACAAAAAATCCTGGAGTTGTGTTTTGTTTCATCCATCACTCAAACCCTGCGTATTTAGGCTGAGTTCCCGTCATGTGTATATACAGGAAGTGCTCCACTGTGTTTTTAAACTCCACACACTCTTGCTAGAATCATTTGGATGATTTCAGCTCTGGAATTGCCGATCTCCACTGAACTAAAGGTAAAAGGTAAACTTGAACGCTTCATGCCAGGTGGAGCAGAGCATTTTGAGCTTTGGAGATTTAAACAGGCAATAATAAAGGATTACTCAAACATGTGTGAATGAAAGAAAACACATCTCCACGTAAGTTTTGTTTTTGAGTCACTCTGACATGACTTAAAGGTCACAAGAGTCTATAAGGCGCACTTAAAATCCTTTAATCTTTTCAAAAATTGTCAGTGTGCCTTATAATCCGGTGCGGCTTATGTATTAATTCTGGTTGTACTTACTGACCTCTAGGCGTGTGCAAAAATATTGAAATATCAAAATATTGTATCGTTTAATGTAATGACACAGTATCGATATCATGGGCTGCTGTATCGATATATCGCCAAGAGTATTTTTTAGTATATTTTACGCAATTATTTTGTTACAGCTACAGTTTTGTTGTTTGTTTAGCGGAAGGAAACTCGTTTATGCGACACATTTGACATTTTCACTATTTTGATGATTAAAATGTTTGTGTTTCATATGAACTTTGTACAAGAAGTGGTTTAACAAAGACTTTTAGTATCACAGTCATGATTTAGCCTTTATTTGTATTGAATCAATTTGAAATATAACGTATCAAATCAAAAATGCACTGAGATATGTATCGTATCGGCAACTTCTTAATGATACCCAGCCTTACTGACCTCAAACCAATCTTATGTAGTACACGGTGCTCAAAAATCTGTCAAAATGTTTTAATACGACTTTGGTAAACCACGAAGCCGCATCACTTGATGGATTGTCGGAGCATTACGGCTACTGTAGTCAGGAGCCTCGCGGAGAACCGTCATATTCCACTGAGTCGTGTCCTTTAGTCCGACAGAAGCTGAACCGCATCAGGACACAGGGAGCGAACTGTCTTTTTTCAGCGCAAATGAGTCATGTGGTTTTAAGTTTCATTTCTGTCAAACGTAAACATATGTGCATAAAGTTGCATTAAACACATTATTACTCAAGGTATATTTGAGTCGTCCTCGTAGGAAATAAACAAATTTAAATGATCCACCCACATTCACATTCATAATACACTTTCACCAAGACAGGGAAGCAACGCCGGTCGAGTTATGCCACGATCTACCGATGGATCGTGGACGCCTGGACTAAGGATCAGTATCAATTGTCGTCTGTTTGCTTCACTTAATGCACATTATAATCCGGTGCGACTTATGTATGAAAATAGACAAGAGAATTCAACATTATTGATATCACGCCTTATAATGTGGTGCACCTTATAGTCTCAAAAATACGGTAATATTGGGCCTTTAACCTCTGTACAATGTTCAGCACAGAATTACCTCATTATACAGACAAAGTATCAAGTACCGTGCAAAATAAAAAACAAACTTCTAGACATAACTTTTACAGTGACATATGAAACCTGATTTTAAATGGTCGCCTGTGCCTCATATTTTGCCCATTTGCATGATACGTGCACAGTCGGTAATATTACGAGACTACGGGGCATCCGGCCATGACATTCAAGAACAACATGAAAATATCTGGTATTTTATCGAGGATATTTCAGTCGCGTATGGAAATGATCGGGTCATATTTGTTTTTTCCGTATCAGACATATACAAAACTGCATGGCAAAGATCAACAGTACAAAGGCTGGCGTGTAGCATCCAAATGAGTTAGATTAGAAAGAACACTTAAGAGTCTGTTCAAATGGATTCAACTCATGCAGTGTTAAAATAGACATACTGTGCTTGTGTCTGCTAAAGTACAGAGTGTCTCAAAAAAGTTGACGTTATTTTGGCCAATAATTTTGGCAATTCTTGTTGAAATAACCTCACATTTTCACAGAATGTATAGACATAGGTTAAGGTTTTATATTGAATGTTTTATTTTTGTTCTGTTTTCAGGTTGAGACGTTCTCCCAAAGTGAAGTCATATTGTGTTTTCTAATCTACTCACCCAAGACTGTGCAGCTTCAATGCAACATTTAGAAAAACAAATTTGGACTTGGTACAAAAAATGTAAAGAGGAAGGATCTGGTACCATCAACATCTGAAGAGGTCGAGCAAGTTCGTGAAAAACTCTTGTGAAGCCCGTAAGGAGAACAAGTTTGAAAACCCAGATTCCTCGAAAGATGGTCTTTAGCTCTGCATAAGCAGCATAACATTTTTTATACCAGGTCCAAATTTATTTGCCAGTTGGTGACTTTTTTCAAATTTTGCATTGAGGGCTGCACAGTCTTGAGTGAAGTTAGTTGTAGTTATAATCTATGACACTTGTGGAGTATTTTGTTTTGATCATAGATTGTATAAAAGAAGTGCACTAAGTGAGTGTGACGTCACCCACGGCGTTCACCGCTGCTCAAATGAGGCTCGTGATGTTCACGGTTACAGGAGTGAATCTGGAGCCAGGCTCTATGTAGGATTTTTTGACAAAATAGAGGAAAAAAAAAAAAAATCAGGATCATGTAGAGCGGGTTAATGTGAACATTTTAAGACCAAAGTGATGAGGCTCACAGCAGCAGGTACACAGAGAGGGACGACAAGACCCCAGTGTCAATTGGAGCCAGAGTCAGAAGGAGCCAGAAGAGCCTCCTGGAGAACTTCCTATTTGGCACATGAGGGCTAGTGCACTAACTATGTCCACTCATACGGTCTATGGTTTTGACATGTTAAATCACAATATTGATCTAAAACGACTTAATAAAAGAAACAACTTTCAGCTCTTTTACAGCATTCAGATCTTTTTTGGATCCGTTCACTGTAAACAGAAGCCAGTGTGAGAACAGGTGAGATGGAACGAGAAAGAGAGAAAAAGAAAGAGATGAGAGAAGGGTGGGGAGAGAAAAGGAAGCAATGATAGAGGGAGAAAAAGGAAGGGATGAAAGAGAGAGGGAGTGAGGCAGAGAGAATGTGAGAACTTATTTTATCCACAAACTAATCACAGAGAGAAATGTCCAAGGCCCAAATCTATTTTTATGTATTTACCCATTAGAATTATGCATGTTATTAAAATGTTTTTCTGTTTTTGCGTTGCCAGCTCTGCTCCTGCGCTCATTCTTATGTCGGTTCAGTGTTAATCAGCACAAAAAAGCATAAAAAAATAAATAAATAAAAAAATGGAAAGAAAAAAATTAAGAAAAAAGAAAACAAAGGTGCATTGTGTAACTTTTTCGGCTAGAAGGTTTTCTTTGTTTGCTTTGTCTGGAGTGTTTCACAGTATGGCATTAAACCTTTATATCTTCATAGAAACCAAACCAGATGAAGTTACAGGTCAGATCTATGGAGAGGCGACCCCGCTCACATCAGAATATCTGTTTTTCTGGATATTTTTGAGCTATAAAACCACTTGTAATTGAATAAATGTAAAAAAGTAGAGGTGTTTAAGTCATACTGTGGAACATTTTGGGCAAAGCAATGACATATTCACGAAACAAGCAGGTCCGTATAGTTTTTTGTTAAAGAAATGAACTCTGAAAGCCGTTTTATTTGTAATTTAAACGTAATTTCGTCTTAAAATCCACACTTGTCATTAGGCAAACACGGCCTGCAGGGGAGTCATCGAGAATCCGACGGGTCCCTGGAAACGTCTTCGTCAAACGCTGACCCAGATCCGATCTTAATGTGCTTATGACCGATGGCACGGCTCCCGCGATCCGCCGTCGCCGTCGCCCGCGGTTACGCACGGCGCTAAAGACTCCGCTAAATAAAGTGAACTGTCGGCATTAAATGTTCGACGAGAGAAATTTCTTCACGTCGGCGGTTTCTAAGTATCAGCGTTTTGTTTGCGTTTTGGAAATAGAGGAGAGGAGACAAGCGTGTGTGTGTGTGTATTTGTGTGTGTGTTTGTGTGTGTTTGTGTGTGTGTTTGTGTGTGTGTTTGTGTGTGTTTGTGTGCGGTGAAGGGGAAAAATGACTTTGACACAAGAGATTAAGCGCAGTATTGTGACACGGTATTGTCTCACAGGAACAAGAGGGGAGGAGCGAGAGAAGGGGAGGGAACGAGGGAACAGAGAGGGAGGAGAGAGGGAATAAAAAAAAAGGAAAGCAAGTGAGGAAGAGAGGGAGGAAAAGAGCTGTGCAAGGGGAGCGTTTGGAGAGAGGAGAAAGAGAGGACGTTGGGTGGAAAGAGGGATTGAAGAGGAGTGAGAAAGAAAAGAGGGAGAGAGTGATTTTGCAGGGAGGAAGAGAGAAAGGAGAGTGAGGAAAGAGGGAGTGGAGTGTGGGGGGAAAGAAAGAGAGCGAGAGGGAAGTACACTGAAAAAAAATAATCACTTCTGGGGATAGTAAAATATATGAAATCAACTGTAGTAATTTTTACAATAAATTAACATAATTCTTTGAGAACTA